CAGCAGCAACATGAAACAGATCAGCAGCAACATGAAACAGATCAGCAACAACATGATTATCCTGGTTAGATATTCATGAGGCTGCACAAACTAGTTCATGTTGCTGTTTGACGTATTGTTTTGATTGTTTACTGCTATTAGTGCTTAGTGTTTTATTAGTAGATGTTTTTTAGTTGATATTTTTCTTAATTCATATCTTAGATCTTATTACTGTTTTTCTTTTACATGTTGTTGTCTGTAACTGGGACCCTGTGTACATAATTTCATCCCACCACAACTTGAACATGTGGTGTGTTTTCAGTATTTATTCAACATTTTATTTTTTTACTTTAAAAATAAAATAAATCAAGTTCTTATCGGCACAAATAAAGTGATGTGGAACATGTTGCATCTGTTCTTACCGAGCACAGAAGCTGCAGCGTTGTGCTGCTCTGTGAGGTGCAGCTGGGCTGTGATGGAGCTCTGTCCGGTGCAGACTCCTCTGATGGAGCAGGAGCCGGGAGGCTTGGAGGGTTGAATGTGGAGTTTAGAGATGAACCATCACGCGCTGAAAGACGTTCTGGATAAAATACAGTGAGAAACGGGACCGGAGGACAGTTAGCGTTTATGCAAATTAGCTTAGCATCGTAGCACCGACGTTGTACTATTATGGCGTCAGCCTCTTTTGTTAGTTAAAAATATGTTCAGAACCGATGGGATGAGTAATTTAAAATATGTTTAAAGTTAGAAAACACTCACCATCTTCTATAAATGATTCAAGCAGCGCAGTGGCCGTGTCCAAACCACCCTCCAATCCTCCATCTAGCTCGCTGAGACTTTTTTCGTCGGTCACCAAGCACAACAACACCTGCACTTCTGCATTTGACCACGGCTTTGACATTATTGTTTTTTTATAGCTTCAAAATACTAAAAGATACGCTCCTCGAGTTATCGCTAATAGCAAGAGGTAGAGAAAAATGGTGGATCGGGTTGTTTGGAAAGACTCCACAGACTCCTCCCCCCGACCAATCAGTGACCGACAGTGTTTCTGACATCACGGCTCGACTCGCTTGGACCCCTTGAGAAGCCGGGCCAGAATTCAGGGAGGCAAGCCGGTCCCAAGTACTATGGAAAAGACCTCAAACATGCGTCAACCCAGAAATATCCGACCCGCACCGTGACAGTGGAAAAGGGGCATTAGTTTCAAAGACTGACTTTCTGTCCTACCTTTTTCTGGAGAACTCTACAGATGGAAAAGGCGCTTGACGGTACCTGGAGCCGAACAGAACAGAACCATGACGCTGAAATGGTTTTATTCCTCCTCATAAAAACCTGAGTATGATTTGGCTCAAGCATCCACACAAGTGATTTTAGGTTTAATGTATTTATTGAGTTTGAACTCAAATTTCAAAAGTGCTGAGGGAGATGCAGAAGTTCTGCATTTGAATATGAAAAAATGTGAAATAATGACTATTAATGATCATCCGCTGGATGCTGTTTGTAATGTACCAGTTAAAAAAGAAGTGAAGTATTTAGGAATTAATATTTCAAAAGATAAAAAATTAATTGAAACCTTCAACATATAAACTAAAATCCAGAGTAGTAAAGTTTTTCTCAACAGTTGGCTTCAAAGAGATTTTTCTATTTTTGGACGTGTTCTACTCACTAAAATGGAAAATTTATCTTAGCTTATGTACCCTGCCTAGTCATTGCCCATATCTGATAAAATGATGAAGAAGATAAATCAGGACAATTTTAATTTCATTTGGAGAAACAGATGTCGTTATATTTGAAGAGCCGATGTAGTTAAATCTTTAGAGGAAGGGGGGTGAAATATGATCCAATGAATGGAACCATCAAACTCAAATGGTTGCAAAATTTCATTAAAAACTATGAAAGCTTTTGGTATATTTTTCCTTGTAACATTTTTGAAGAGTTTGGTGGGATTAGTTTTCTGTTAAGTTGCGACTTTGAAATTTCTAAATTACAGATAAAATTATGAGACTTTCATAAACAGGTTCTGCAATATTGGAAACTTATCTTCAAACACAATTTCTCACCACATTCAGTCCCAATTTAAAACAACAGATGCATCCTGATAAAACGAAAATCATTCCTCTACAAAGATTGATTGGAGAAAGCTATTTGGTCTGTTCTACACTTTATGAAAGAAAATGGCAACCTTTTATCATACGAAGATTTTAACGAAAAATATACATTAAACTGTACTAAAATTAAATTTGAGAGAGTGTTAAAGTCCATTCCTCCTGCTTTGATTCAGATGGTTATGATTACATATTTGAATGTTAATCCAAATAAACCATCTTTGATTATAAATGGTTGCGACTTCATAGACAAAAAATGTAATAATAAATTCATAAGGAATACTCTGACCTCAATTCTCTTCCCCTGAACATTGAAAAGAAAACATTTGTTTAAAAGTTATGATAGTTCTTCTCAAAAAAACAAAATCAAAACCAAATACCTTTCCTATCCACTCCCACAAAAAAAATTAAGAAATTTGTTTCAAAATTATGGATGAAATTTATCCTTGCAATGACTTTCTGCAAAAGAAATTTAATATAGATACCAACTCATGTGGATTCTGTAATTGAGATATTGAGACAGCACAACACATTTTTTTAATTGCAATTCCATTAATGCTTTTTAGAAAGATTTTCAGAACTGGATTAAACCTAAAAGTTCTATTCCACCTTTAAATTTTAATATAATTAAATTTGGTCTGCTAACAGGGAATGAAGTTTTAAATTACTATAACAACTTAATCCTTATGACTAAATTTTTTTTATCCACAAATGCCGTTTCCTGAAAATTACCCCCATATTCAACATATTTTTAAATGAAATAATTTTATTTAAAGAAGTGCCGCAACCTTCCAAAAGCCCAATCCTTATACCAGTATATTAATAGCTTATTTTAAGACTTGAATCTCCTCTTGCATTTGTAACATTTTTATTTTGCGGTTTCCTCAAATTGTTCATTTTCTTTGTAAATTATATTTTATTCATAATTTCTGCTTAGTTTTTTGTCATATCAACTGTGAACATGTTGTTCTTGCTATATGCCTTGTTATATTATGTTTTGTATATATATTTTTTTTCCAATAAAGACAAAAAACCCTTTACCATTTTAGCTAGCCTTTGTTATTTTTCAGTAGATTTTCTGATTTTAACTACTGCTTTGCTTCTTTCAGCTTCTGTTTAGTGTATTTTAGCTTTAAGGCATTGCACTATTGTCTCGATGACTAGAAGGACAATAAAAACCAAATGAGGACATCCTCAGGATTATCCATCCTCACCTCTGACAGTTGGCAGCCTGAGATGTCCAGGATGTCGTCAGCACCGGCTTCCTTGGACTGAAGGACAGAAGACAGTTACTCAGAAGCTGAGACATTGTCTCAGGGTTGTCCTGACAGAAGACCTGAAGTGTGTCTCCAGCATCAGGAGTTGGACTCACCTGGCACAGCTGACACTCCAACCTCTTCTGAGAGTCATCGTTGGGCTTCCTCTTCCTGAAGAACAGAGGCATCCTGAGACACGTCAGTCCCGCTGTCCCGCCACCCAAAACGCTGCAGCTACAGGGGACAGATGGAAAGGGCAGAGACACATGGACAGATCAGAGACAAATGGACAGATCAGAGATGGATGGACAAGTCACAGACAGAAGGACAGATCAGGGACAGATGGAAAGGTCAGAGACATACGGACAGATAACAGACAGACGGACAAGTCAGAGACACATGAACCTGTCTGAGACAGATAAGCAGGTCAGAGATAAATGGACAGATCAGAGACAGGTGTCAATGTCAATGTATATATATATTTATATAGCACATAAAAACAACAAAAGCTGACCAAAGTGCTTTACAGTTAAGACAGATTAAAATAGTACAAATGGATCTAGTGCCACTTAAAAACATAAAGTTAACAGTAAATACACAACAACAATAAAAATCAGCTGAAAATTTGTTCTCAGACTCTGCGTGGATCCAATGCCAAGGAATACAAATGAGTCTTCAGCAAAGATTTAAAAGTCTCAACAGTCTGAGCGTTCTTTAAATGATCAGGTAAACTGTTCCACAGTTTTGGAGCAGCTACCGCAAAAGCCCGATCACCTTTGGATTTCAGTTTGGATCTGGGGACATCTAAGAGGAACTGGTTGGTAGACCGGAGTGTAGTTAATGTTAATAAGATCGCATAAATAAGACAGGGCCAGACCTTTTAAGACTTTAAAAACAAGCAAAAAAAATCTTAAAATCAATCCCAAAGTGGACAGGAAACCAGTGGAGAGAAGCCAGGACAGGGGTTATATGGACAGATTGGAGACACATGGACCTGTCAGAGACACATGGACAGGTCAGTAACACATTTAATTCAATTCAAGTCATTTATTTATGTAGCACCAAGTCACAACAGGTCATCTCAGGGCACTGAACAGAAACACTCATATATAAAAATATTAATATATCACTCCTGATGCATGCTCAATAATCCAGGTAGAAAAATCTAAAAAAGTTCAATCTGGTCCTCTGGACATTCAAAAAAAAAAAAAAAAAATGTAGAAACGTTTCGTCTCTCATCCAAGAGACTTCCTCAGTCTGAGGTGCTGTATTCAGCTCAGTCTCTTAAATAGCACCTTCTCAGAGTGGATCAACCAGTTTCCTGCTGACAACCAAAACCAGCTGATCACATGCTCAAGAAGGACCATCAGCCTAACAATGGATCATTAGCACACTGATGGCTGTTTACTGTTCACAGAGGGCTGAGTGATACTAGCAATCACAGCATTGTAAGAGGGGGACAGTTGAACCCGGAGGCTCCACCCCTGTTTAATGATGGACGGTGTCTTTTCACAAAGATGGCCTCCTTTACTCCTCTCTCAAACCATCGTTCCTCTCTGTCCAGGATGTGAACATCTTCATCCCTGAAAGAGTGACCGCTGGCCTGGAGATGAGTGTAGACCGCAGAGTCCTGGCCTGATGATGTTGATCTTCTGTGCTGGGCCATCCTTTTGGCCAGTGGCTGTTTTGTTTCTCTGCCCTGCAGCATTTTGAAGTTTATCTTGGCTTGAGTGTGAAACCTACAGAGGTTTTCACAGACCATAACCCACGTGTCTTTCTTACCAGGATGTACAATAATAATCAGCGGCTTATGCGGTGGGCTCTGATTATTCAGGAATATAACCTCAGGATTTGTCATAAAAAAGGGTCAGAGAATGTCCTGGCTGATACGCTGTCACGTGCACTATGACCCCAGATCATCTCTTTGAATGTTCCAAACATTTTGTTTGGACTTGTAAGGGTGGGGGTGTTACATGTCTGGAGGACTTTGTGGTTTTTCCTCTCTTGTCTCTCTGTTTGCTCCTCAGGAGCAGAATGCAGGCTGGTGCCAATTTGGAGATTTGAATGCTGATTGATTGGAGAGTTGGGCAGGACCAATCAGGACTCAGGACTGCCCTATAAAGGAAGCCCTTCTGTGCTGGTTTTTTTATGGTTGACTTCCCTCCATGCTGCTTGTTTGGCACACCTGTGTTGCTGTCTGGAGCAGTGTTCATTGTATAAGGTTTGTGGTGGGAGTTAGAGGACTAGGTAAGTTTGAAATGGTCATAATTAAAATGATATTGTTGCTCTGTACAGTCGTATTACCGGCGTCGTGTCTACTTCTCCTGGGAAAGATCCACATTCGCAAGAAAGTGGCCAAACTCCAAGCAAAGCATAACTCACTTCAGCAGAACTTCACTGACACAGCAGCACTGTTAAAGAACTTAAACACAAAGGCAACAAAAACCATCTCAGTTCTAGAAAAACTTAATGTGAATTTATCTACAGAACCTGGAAATAGATTTGTTATCTTTAGACTTTATTACGTTTTGTACCATTTTAGTTATATTGTTCTTTACTATACTTGTGTACTATTAATTTTGTAACGGTTAATATACAACTGGCGGACACATATGTAAAGTTCATAAAGTTTTTTAATAAAACTTTTAATAAAAATTACCAGCGTCGGGTTAAACAATAACACACACATCCCACACCACCCAGTCCACCACCACAGTTAAAAGAAATCCTAGAGGACACCCTGAAATGAACAGGTCAGACACGTAGACAGTTATGAGAAACGTGGACGGGTCAGAGACAGATGGACAGTTCAGAGATACGTGGACAGGTCAAAGACAGATCGACGGAAAAGAGACAAATGGAAAGGTCAGAGACACATGGACAGGTCAGACACATGGACTTGTCAGACACATGGGCAGGTCAAAGACACAGGAACAGTTTAGAGACACATGGGCAGGTCAGAGACACATGGACAGGTCAGAGACACATGGGCAGGTCAGAGACAAATGGAATGTTCAGAGACAAATGGGCAGGTCAGATACACAGGAACAGGTTAGAGACACATGGACAGGTCAGAAACACATGGACTGGTCAGAGACACAAGGACAGGTCAGAGACACACGGGCAGGTCAGACTAATGGACTGGTCAGAGACAAATGGGCAGTTCAGATACACAGGAACAGGTTAGAGACACATGGACAGGTCAGAGACACATGGACTGGTCAGAGACACAAGGACAGGTCAGAGACACATGCGCAGGTCATAGA